AGTGTCCATGGCTCTCGGTGTGTTGGTTGATAAGCCTGTGCCCTCAATAGAGGGCCTTTATTTATTTTTTTTGGGGGGGGGGTGGAACTACCTGTTCATTAGCCCATTTATTGACTAGCTTTGATTTCTTGTTTTTTGGGTCCTTTGTACAGTCTAGATATTAAACCTTGTTAGACTTTCTCCTGTTCTGTAGGCTTTCTGAACAGAATGCCCCAATGGCCTCTGAGACAGCTACTGGCCTCATCCTCATCATCCTCTGAGATTGCTGCTGGCCTTATCAGTTGGTCATACCCAGATTCACTACTCAGGGGGAACTGTTTGTTGAGATAGCCTGTTACTCAAGATAGCCTGTCTTGCTTGATCAAGCAGCTCCTGGAAAAGGAGACCATCATTTTCTCAAGAATACCTGTGCATAGACCTCTGCAGTGGCATCTACTTCCTTATACCCTAGTCCCTATATAATCTCTAACTCTCAGTACAGTCACTTGCATCCTGAGGAAAGGCTGCTGTCTGTCAGTCACTGAGCTGAATAAAGAAATGCAGTCTTGTTCTGTTGAAGGTCCAGCACTGGCCTAGTTCCCCTCTCTGAAACCTGACGGTCTCTTCACTTAACTGTTTCCTTTGCTATGTACAGGCTTTTAACCTCATGAAATCCCATTTGTAAATTGTTGACCTCACTTCCTGAATCACTACAGTTATAGTCAGGAAGTCTTTTGCCTATGCTTATGCTTTTTCCTCCAGAGTTTCAGGTCTTACTTTAAGATCTTTGATTCATTTGGAATTGATTTTCATACAAGGTGAGATACTGGGATCCAGTTTCATTCTTCCCCATGCAGATAACCAGTTTTTCCAGAGTCATTTGTCTTTTCTCCAAAATATATTTTTGTCATCTTTGTCAAAAATCAGGTGGCGATAACTGCATGGGTTGGTATCTAGGTCTTTTATTCTATTCCATTGATTTCCATTTCTGTTTATGTGCCAGGACCATGCTGCTTCTGTTAGTATGGCTGTACTATACCTTGAAACACATGTGTGATAGCTCTAGCACAGCTCTTTTTGCACAGGCTTACTTTGGCTGTCCTGAGTCTTTTTGCTTCCATGTGAGTTTTAAGCTTCTTTTTTTCTATTTCTATGAAGAAAGGCCCTGGTATTTTTATTGGGATTGCATTGAATCTATAGATTGCTTTTGGTAGTATAGTCATTTTCACAATATTGATATTGATTCTTCCAATCTATGAGTATGGGAAGTCTTTCCAAGTACTAGTGTCTTCTTCAATTTCTTCAGTATTTTAAAGTTATCATTGTTGAGGTCTTTTACTTCTGTAGATTTATTCCAAGTATTTTGTTTGTTTGTTTGTTTTGAGACAGGGTCTCCCTGTAGCCCCAGCT